AGTTATTCACCAATGTTTAGAAAATTTAGGAATTTCCCACCCACAATGTCTTCAGACCTCAATCCCATTGAGCACATGTGGGATGCGTTGCAGAAAAGGCATTTCGATCACCTTCTGCAGCCAGTTGACCTGCAACAACTGACTGCAGCTTTGCAACACTTATGGAGTGAAATTCCTTATGAAATTAGTGACAACCTTGAACCCTCACCGCAGTCCGTTATGTTCAAGAAATTAACGAGGAATACGCCCCTCGAACCAGGGATCTCATTGGCAGTGATTTTTGATTTCTGGATGACAACGCCAGACCTCATAGAGGCAGAGTTGTTCATCATGTTTAGAAACCTGGGAATTTCCCATCAGCCCCTTCTACCCTGTCTCCAGAGGTAGAGTCTCCTCGTGAGGTGTGAGCATTTGTTGGATGCGTTGCATAGAAGGCTTTTCGATCATCATCCGCAGCCAGTTGAGCTGCAACAATGCAAACCTATGGAGTGAAATTCCTTATGAAATCAATGAAAACCTTTTAACACTTTACAAACTTTTTGTATGGCTAACAAGTGCACAGAGGTTTTAGCTAACAGAGGAGATTATGCACGGTATTAATTGTTTAAAAAATGAACAAAATTATGAAATTAAAACCTTTTATTTTGTTATTTTTAAAATCCCTTAATTAATTGTCCTTCAGTAAAAACATAATTTCTAATAAATTTTCATGTAATTTATAATAAAAATAAAATAAAAACGCTAGAAAAAGTAAATACTACAAAATTGGCAATATCCCAGTTCATTTTTGAGCAATTTATTTCGGAATTTATATAGTAGCCTAACAAAGGAAAGGTTAATACAATGTTTGTAGGGTTCGGATGCCAGGACGCTTATACACACGACCCGCCTGGAACTATAGGTACGACTTTGTATATTGCCTAGCTTATTGAACAAACCTCTTTATTGCATGTAAAAGCTGCGAAGAATAAATTCCGTAGACGTATTTATTTAAAAAAGACCCTACTTCTCAGAAAATTGGCTTTTAAATGAACTTTTAATTTATCTTGGTTGATTAAATTTATCATTTGTTACGATGGATATATACTTAGATATAGTCAAAACAGATTATTTTCTAAGATCAGAAACTAATTTTTATTTTATTTTCTTTACTATGCGATTTTTATTAGCTCTGAAAGGTTCACTGACTGAAGAAATCTCTTCCATGTCGTATTGGTTTGAAAGAATGAGAAAGAGAATTATAAATTATAAACAATTATAAATAACGCATTTTCTATCTATCTATCTAATAGTAATATTAATTATTAATGTTTGTAATTTCAACCCTCAGTATTACAATAATCCTAATAGTTTTTATAGTTTAGATTTTACTGAACATATTTCACTTATGGTAATTGAAAAACGTTTTAATGGCGTAGCGTTGAGCAAATCAAATAATGTCGATGAAACCAAGCAATAGCCATTAATAATGTATAACCTGGTGACAGGTAAATTATTGAAACTATTACAAAATAATTGAGTTTTTGGGAAAACGCGCTTAACTACAAAATGTCTGCAATTTTTATATTTATTTTAGACATTTTTTTTACATTTAGTATTTGTTTAAACAAGGCTTAAACAGTATTAAAATTTATTTTCTATGGAATTACAATTACACAATTAATTTTTGCATTAAATCCAGTTAATTATTCGTATGGATTGGGAATTTAAATACTTTGAAAAACATCGATAACTTGTCTCATTTTTACAATTAATTAGTTTAAAATCATTTATAGAAATAATCAATCAAAGAGAGTATATATCACTTTCCAAACGGCCGAATGGATCGGTTGTTCAATGTACGCGAATAGGCCATTCACCCAAAGTACATGTATATATTTCACTATTTTTTTTGGTAAGAAGTCGTTTCTGGATTGAGTAGCGGTGTAAATATTATTCGTCGTCCTTTTCTACAGGGGAAACGAAACTTTTTGCTGGGTTTTCCACGTCATTCATTATATTCATACTAATTGTTCTTGTGAGCAATTAAGAGTTTAACGACTGGAGTTTACTGGTTTAATGGTATGAGTTCGGGGATCGTTTATTCCTTGTTATTTTTTAAGGTGCGTATTTGTTAAAGTGCCGGAAGATAGTAATTTTAATATTACCACGCTAAAGCGATCAAATGTAAAATAAGGACGTTAAAATAAACAAAGATGTAGATAAGAATGTATGTTTTCACAAATTCTTATTTTTTATATCTCAAATGATCCATTTTCTTTGGTTTCTTTAGATTCGTTTCCAATTTAAAACTACTAGGCAAACTTTAGTAGAAATTATACTTTTGGTATTTTTCGTATATTCCAAACTATAACAGTCATACAGAAAAAAATCTTCTTGCAATGTATTTTTAAATGCAAATTGAAACACTCCTTGCCATTCTTCTTCAAATCATACCTGCATTTTTTTATTTGTTTTTTATTTATTTATTTTTTTATTTGTTTTCAATAAATGTGGACATTAGATGGACAAATGTATTATATATATAAAATAATCAAATATAATAATAGTTGTCCTGTAAATAGTGAGTTGCCCCAACCAAAATTAACATTTATGTGTAGAGATTAGTGAACGTTAATCGATAGTTACTCAGCTATCGTGAGATGCGGTCGGGTGTGATGTAGGTTTCAGAAAAACATTTTCTTTATCGTGCCAACGTTTCGATGTTTTATTGAGATCGAAACGTTGGCACGATAAAGAAAATGTTTTTCTGAAACCTACATCACACCCGACCGCATCTCACGATATCTGAATAATTAATAAAACAAAAAAGCAATACAAAGTACACAATTGTATAACAAGTAGTTTCATTTGGTCCCTAAAGAGGTCAAATGGGAAGTAAATCCCAAAACATTTTCAAAAGGTCAAGTGTTCACTCTTTGAGCATATAACTAAGAACAGTAACAAAAATATTGCAAAGGAAAATTCTGAATTTTTCATGTTTGTAGAATCCATTCTTACAACTTGTAATTATTATTGATTTTATATATACTATTACTTTTTTTTTTTTAGGATTGGTATTCGCTTTTAGCTAGTTCTTTTCCCATTGTATTGCTGGCAGCCCCTTAAGTAGGATTATCTTCAAGGGTGCACCAATAGCGTCAAGTTATATAAATGTGTACCGGGTGTGCGAGTAGTGGTAGGCCTGATGATAGATATTTTTTTCCCAAGTAATGTAACGTTTCCATGGAAAAACTAACAAAAATTGTAACTCGTCAGGGTCTGAAGATAAACATAAGGACTTTCCCGTATTTACTCTGCGTCCTTAAAAGGCCATGAGGATCTTTAACGTCTGTAGCTAGCCTTTCGGCCCTACCGGACGTTTTGTTTCTCAAGATGAGAGATGACGCACCTCCGCTCGCGACTGGATGGGTGTTACAGCCGCAAAGGTTTGTTGTAGAAGCCCCCGAGGGGCCGAGACGGACCTCACTCCTCCCCGTGTCCATTCCGAGTGGATGGGGCTGCATTAGCACCAGACCGTGTGCCGCACGGCAATGGGTAACCCCAGGTGGCTGAAATGCATCAGCCTGGGTCGTCCCGCAGGCTCCCTAGATAGAGAAGGCGACTCTATCTTCTAGATTATTGGGGCTTCTCCAGCTTAAGAACTTCCGGAACCGCTTCCGCCGCGATTTTGTGCAAAGTGGAATTTATAACCGCCTCCTAGAGGAACACTGCCTCTAGGAAGGAAACCGCGAACGATACCCCCGAGCAACAGGGTCACACTAAGTTCTCGCCAGGAGCATCATCGCCACTAAGTTACTACGAGTCCATTCCCATGTAGCAGGGTTGGACATGGGACATTTTCTACTACTCCGTAGTTAGATGGTTATGCACCCTCCCCCGTCTGTGCAGACAGGATCTGGTACCCTAACCCTCGTGTGCCTCTGATGCAACACCCACCGTCCGCTGCCGACCCGGAGGCCTACACGAATCCAGCTTGTGCTTTAGAGAGGTTGCCACGCTCCCAAGGCAACACCATTATGTTGTACCTGGATTCCTCCTTGCATCCAAAGGTTGGGAGAGGTCTCAAGGAAGTATGCCGATTAAGAAAGGGAAGTGACCGAGGACGCGAGGCTCACCTTATCAGGTTGCACCCCCCGCCTTGGCTATACTGTATCACCCATTGTCACCGTAGTCCCACATTTAATGGGGTATAGCTCCTCTGGGTGGATAAGGTATAGGGACTATACGTTGGAAGTTGTTACAAGAAGGGGTACTATCATCCAAAAAATTTTTTCACACTTTCTCTGGGACACCCTGTATAATTTTCTTTTAAACCAATTGTATATTTTTTCTTTGCCATCTTGCCACAACCAATTTGTAATAGCCTAATAACGTTGGTAAAAACTGTTCTTATCGCTTTACTGTGCTTCTATCCTAATGCTTACTTATTAATTGTAATCAAGCAGAATTAACTATTAAGAATTGGTCTTATTAGAATCAATGGATTATCGTTTTATGCCTCAAATATAGAAATGAACATTTTTTTTATTACAATTAGTACAATGTGTTGTTGTATCTGTTATTTAAAAATAATAATAAAATAAACACATTTAATAGTAAACAAAAGGACTAACGTTACAAATTGGTTGAAAGCACTTGGGACACTTGGCTTCAGCTTTTACGATGTTCTTTTCCACCTCGGCCTACTACATTTTATATAGCCTTGTGCCCTAAAATGATTCTCCTTGTAATTTTGACGATGCAGTTTATTTAAAACATCTCGTGGTCTTAAGCAGTTTGGTTGAATGTTCAAAAATGTGATTCTGCTTTGTATGGATTGAAGGCATACATACGCGTTAAAACCATCTGGATCGTAGATTGATCAGTGTACGTATATGTAAGACGTTGCGTTTAAAATTAGTTTCATGCTACATCCCAATGCAAACAACACGTCAATGCCGTTTTCTCCCTCTCGAGCCAACGCTCTAAAAAAATCTTACACTCATAACAGATCGAAGCTAAAAATACAGCGACTAACGAGGTAAAAGTTGAAAACCGCGTTCGAATCCTCTCAATGCGTACAGTTTCAGTTTGAGTGTAGTCGTCGTGTTGAACGGTGTCCCGGACAGTTTATAAATTACCTCTTGAAGTGGGTCAAACCAACATAAGCATCGTCATCAGTAGCAATCAAGGTTTGTGAAAGATGCCAAGATTCACAGTTCACACGTCATTCGATATTGCCAATGTGTTTTGCTTTACAAAATAAATAATTATTCTTAAATATATCATTAATATCGCGTCACATATTGTTAGTGATTGTTTTTCCTTTGCCTTTTAAACATTTTAAATCGTTCTTAAGCGTTTTAATAAAGCAAACGTAAGCAAAGGTTTATGAGAACCGCTAGGGTTATGAAAGATAAAATAGAAGTGTGCAAAGCGTTTCCGTAAGCCTTAGAAACTGTCCATAAAAGTCTACCTTCTATAAGACTGTTGATAGATTTTTTTATATTTATCCTTCATATAATTTAATATGTCCAATATGAAGTCTTTTCTAACACAATCAATCATTTATATTTGATTTCATGTAAAATATTTTTTTTTATTGCTCTTACATTCATGATTTTATTCGAATGTTTTCCTTCTCCCTTGAGATTATTACCACTTGTCAAAACGAGCCAAACTTACAAGTCGATTTTCAAGTTTTGTCTCCCTCTGAGCATTCCCCCAAAGCAACGCATGAAATAGTTATAATTTCATCCACTGTAGCATATTTCCAATAAACGTCGTCTGTTACTTTTTTTGGAAACGTATAGATTTTTATTTTATGTTGCAATCTGTTTGCCATTAAAGAATATTTATGTGGATAAAACTATTACAAGTCCGCAAGTGTTTTTGATTCGTTTGATAATTGCATTTCCAATGAGTGTAAATGTTAATGATATAATTTATTATGTTTAGTGGTCTGATGACCAAATTACTTCTTTCAATTAATTATTCTTTGTATGTAAGGTCTTGGTTGAAATGAAAAAGCGTCACGGGCGGTATTCGAACCCACGACCTTCTGCTCAATACGCAGCTGCTCTATCCACTTGAGCTATCGTGACTTTTTCATTTCAACCAAGACCTTACGTACAAAGAATAATTAATTGAAAGAGTTAATGATAAAATAACTTTGAACTTCTGAGAACATTTTGCATATCTTTGCATTCCGAATTTGTTCGAATAGCTTTGACATTTGAGCAAATTTCAATATGCTCATCGACAAATACTGGACACTCGTACTTGTTTATTTTCCATAATAGGTAGGTATAAAGATTAATAGTTGATTTAAAACGTAAATACAACATTAATAACTCGTTGTTTACCTTTATAGTATTGCTAATCCTTTTACACTCATTAGATAAAAAAAAATAAAGAAAATCAGTTCAATTTCATCCTTTCCAGAGCAAAGTTGTTGACTTTTTCAAATTGTTTTCTTTAATGAAACAACAAATTTAAGTAAAAAATTATTAATTTTATTTTTTTATAAGCGTGGTTTTAAGTCGAGAAGATCTCTACGGTAGGTGCTTTGACCAACACGTAGTGGCCGTAACATAGCCCAAGTCCTGGGTGTCACCATCTACGATGGTCTACTTTGGTTTGAGGCCCCGTAAGTCTCGATCGAAGAGTAAGTACTGGTCATCCGCGATGTATGACTAGGCGGTCGTTTTAGTGCTTTTACACACTACAGAACCGTCATTTAATGAACTCCGAACGCTCTAAAACAGTCATCAGAAGGCTTCGTGAGAAGAGATTAATAGATAGATACGTTCATTTTCAACAAAAGAAAATGTATTACATTAAAGAAACAAGGTTATATACAAGATTTAAAAAAACATTTTATTATCATCTTCAGGGCTCAAAGTGTTTGTTTTCTGTGTAGATGTGTCATTATTGGGTGTATACACAAACATGTATCAAAAACGTCTGCAGGAGGTTGTTGCTGATATCATAAAAAACAATATGGAAATTTTTAAAAAATATATAAAGAAAAGAAAAAAATAAATAGTGCCTCTCAACACAACACGCAAGAATGGCATAATTACACAGAAATCACCTGAAAATGATCTCAATAAAGATCGAAACGTTGGCACGATAAAGAAAATGTTTTTCTGAAACTTACATCACACCAGACCGCATCTCACGATTTCTGAATAATTAATAAAACAAAAAAGCAATACAAAGTACACAATAGTAAATAAATAAAACAAAACAAACAAAAATACAATGGAGAAACTGACTTTGAAGAGCAAACCAGAGATGTAGTGTGTCGTATCACTATTGATAATTAAATTGCTGGACCAATTCAAATCTGTATCTGCATGCATGGCGTGCACCATCAACATATTTAATTAGGAGATCCTTACTTAAAACAAAATTCCCCAATAAAATTGCCGTAACTCCCCTAGTATTGTGCATTCCGCAAAGTGAAAAACAAGGAGCAGGAATTACACAGGGAGCACTGGGCGTTGTATTCTAATCGGACGCACGTCAAATCAGTGCTCCAGTATTTTTGTATTTCAAAGCTTCGTGAGAATAGTCTAGTCTGCAGGCATCCCGTACCAGGTTCTCTACTACCGGAGAGCCATCGAGAAGAAAGGCAAGACTATTCGCAAATCAGCATCTCATTTGGGCACTTGAACAATTGTTGTCTTCGTCACAGAGTGCCGGTTTTGGCCTGTGACAAGGACCAGGTGTGGAGAAGACGTGGAGAACGCTTTGCTTCATATTCTATGCTTGGGTCACAGCATATTCGAAGACAGTTATTGCATGGGGTGGAATCAACGTTTATGCCCGAATCGAACAGATTGTCTTACAGAATGGATCTTTGACTGCACTAAGGAACATCGGGGAGTTTTTCTTGAAGCTGTCGTTACCATTCATTCCATTTATTGGGGACAACTTTGTGCTAATGCAAGATAATGCTCATATACAATAGCATGCAACTAATTTTTTTTCCTACCAATAATGTTACGAAAATAAATAGATTCGCGTCAAAAATAACCATTAGACTCAAATTTTAGAAATAGTATTTTGAAGAAGAAACTTAGCAATTTGTGATATTTGAAGTTAATATCATTAACATAAATCTTCGTTACTATATTTCGACGGTTTCATTATATTAATATTTTATACCTTGTATTTACAGTTTACAAGTACTATCTACTCTCATTCTGAGGAAGGGTATGTTTCGGCAGTTTTACCATGATCATTTCTTACACCTAAAAGATTTATACAATATGATATTTTTCCAGAAAAATACAGTGAAACTCCCCTTTACGGACACCTCTAAAAAGGGTAACCTCCATTGAACGAATAAATTCTGATTCCGCGGCGTCTTCCCATTACTTTCACCATATTAAAATCTTCTATGAAACGGACACTTTCAATAACGGATAGGGACAGCTTTTTAGACTTTTCTGACTGTGAAACTCTCCCAAAAGCGGAGAGCAGCCTCCAGAAAAATGAATGTTTTTTGCCGTTTCCCCTGTGTTTTGTTCTCCTTCCAATATTTTTCAGTATTCTTTGACTTTGATTATGCCACTTTGCAAACATGATTAATTACTTCTTCACTGCTTTTGACACTTAAAGAAAAAAATAATTTAATTAAAGTGACATGGCTGCGAAACTTTCCATCGGAAAGACCCAGCCAAATGAAATTCTGAAGGATAAAAAGGGAACTTTTAGACAAATTCGACAAATACGGAAACTGATTTTTTCTTAAAACTGATTCGGCCTTAGACCAGGACGTATTTGAATAATTTTGCCGTCCCCGGGCCTGTAAAATACCATATCTGGTCCCCTTATCCGAGAAAAGCCCTTATAAATTCAAAACATTTACGGTAAACGGATTGTAAAGCATCTTCAGGTTGGCCCGACAAATTTGGATCACGGTAAAAGATCTTTTAAGACCATTAGTGCAGTGAAAAATCGAGGATGTAGAAAATTTGGAAAAAGTTAAGCAATATGCGCCGATTTTGAACTCAAAAATCACATTGAGACGGCCTTACTTTTTAGAGCAGTTTTGGATAAAACTATGCAGTTACAAAATGAGCTTTGACAGAGTGGCAAAATTTCAACAGAGCTCCTATTCAAAAGTATGTTCGGTGAATTTGAAAAACCCTTAGAAAAGGCTAAAATTGGTGTTTCAAAGAAGATCGATATCTTGTAATCCCCATTGTGGTACATATTGTAATACTAAACCATTAATTCACTACTTTCGTGGTCCGCTTGACCAATTAATACATGACAATTAGTTAAGGTTTTTAGTTGAGATGAAAAAAAGTTAATGGACGAGCGGGATGCCATTGAAAAATGGCAAAAGGAGGGAAAACTCATAAGGTGGGGTTGAGATAGGAAGTTGATGTCCGAGTGGATCGAGGTCACGATAGCTCAAGTGGTAGAGCAGCGGCGTATCTAGCCGAATATCGTGGGTTCGAATCCCGCTCATGCCATTAACTTTTTTTCATCTCAACTAAAACCCTTAACTAATTGTCATGTAATACTAAACATTTTTTCTCTATTATCCGTAATGTGGACACCTCTATGTAGCGGACAATATTTCATTCCTCAAGAGAGTCCGTTATAGGAAAGTTCCCCTTCGCAGCATTCATGTTGATGGCTAGAAAATACCTTTTTACAGGCTAAAAAATATTAGCTATACCAACAAAGACGTTAGAGAAAAAGAATAATTAATTAATACGCAATTATGACTACTAAACAAATATGGATTAATTAATATAACACACTGACAGTCAAAAAATTCCACACACTTATAATAGCTTGATTTGTATATATTTTTATATATTAATCAAAGTTTCACGTTTTTTACGTTTAATAATTGATTCTTTGTCTAAAAAAGTAAAAAAAAAAACAACAACATGTAAATTGCAACTGAAAATGAAAAATGAAAAAAGACGGACGGATAAAATTTGTTTTAATTTTGTGTTCGATTTTTAATTCAATACCACGTATTTCCTCCACTTGCCTTAATTACACCTGGAACACGCCTCGGCATACTTTCTACCAGTCTGTGAAATGTCTCTTTGCTGAAGGTTAGCACATTCTTCACGAAGAAACCTCGTCTTTTGAGGTTATCCCTTAAATGTTTGATGGGATCAAGTCTGGAGAACGGGCTGGCCAGGCTAAGACC